AGTTCTAGAAGATCAATTACTGGTTACATAATCAAGTATGGAGATTCTCCAATATCTTGGAAATCCAAGAAGCAGTCTACTATTTCTAGAAGCTCTGCTGAAGCAGAGTACAGGAGTCTGGCCTCCACTATTGCAGAGATTACTTGGATCATTGGTTTGTTCAAGACATTGGATGTACCATTGGTGTTACCTGTTTCACTGCATTGTGATAGCAAAGCAGCTATTCAGATTGCTGCTAATCCAGTGTTCCATGAGAGAACCAAACATATTGATATTGATTGTCATTTTATTAGAGAAAAGGTGTCAAAAGGTCTTGTTGTCTTACAATACTTATGCTCATTTGAACAGCCAGCTGATATCCTAACTAAAGGACAAAGCAAACATCAACATTTTCATCTTATCTCCAAGCTAAGAATGAAGAACATCTTCATATCTTCTAGCTTGAAGGGGGCTATTAGAGATTGTAAATAATTAACTAGATTAGTTGATAGTTAGTTAATAGTTAGTTGATAGTTAGTTAGGATATATTGAGAAGATTCTAGAAGATGGTTTTCTTGTAAATAAGTCACTTAGTACATGTGTATATATATGTAGAGAGTAATGATCAATAATAAAATTGTGATTGCTTCTTCCTCCATAATTCAATTGTGCAATCAGATTCAGTTTCCATCAGGATAATCAACTCAATTTAATTTATTTCAGAAAAAGGCAAATAGTTTATCTATTGACCAATATGCCCCTGATTCCACTTCCCCAGAATTTTGCCTTATTTAACACACAGGTACTCTCTGAGAAGCATCAAATTCGAGCATAGCCAAGAATGGAAGAAGAATGAGGCGACAGAGAATTTGGGATTTTCTCGAAACGGTGGTTGCCCATCTCCAGTTTGCCAGTGATTTCTCCGTTAAACAAAAAACCAACAACCCTTTCAAATGAACCAGGAAAGCCCGCACAACTACTCTTGTTCCTCTTCCTCTTCTCTTTCACCGCTCTTTTTGCTGCTGATGTTATAATGTGGCTATGATGATTGATTGCTTCCTCTCTGGGCTATGTTCAATCACGACAATGAGAAAACTCCGACACGTATCTTGGCAGGGCGACCCTGTTAAGGCTTTGAATAGCAAACTGGTGTCTGCAGCCATGGCGGTGTCGCTTTTCTCTTTTGCTTTGTTAAGAAATACAGCAAAATCTGAGCCCTTAATATCCCATTTCTTGGTCTTGAATGGTGATTCCATTCTCGGGTTGGAAAACCCATTACGGGTTAAAGACGAAGAATGAGGCATCTGAGAAATTGGGATTTTCTGCGAAGGGTGGTTGCCCATCTCTGTTTTGCCAGTGATTTCGCCATTCATAACCAAAAAAATAACCAACAGCCCTTTAAAATAAACAAAATAAATAAATAAATAATTGGATGAACTTCGTCCGGACACCCCTACTTTTGTTGTTGTTGTTGTTGTTGATGATGTTTTAAAGGGGCTGTGATGATTGCTTGCTTCCTTTTTGAGCATTTTTCAATCACGACATTGAGAAAATCCGACCCGTATCTTGGCAGGGCAACCTGGTTAAGGCTTTGAATAGCAAACTAGTGTCTGCAGCCATGGCGTTGTCGCTCTTCTCAATCCTCTTCTCAATCGCTTGATTCAAATACAGCAAATCTGAGCCCTCAATAATTTGTTTCATGGTTTTTGAAAGTGAGTCTTCTCAGTTCGGAAAACCTATTATGGGTCTGTGTTGAAAATTCAGCTCTGAAGAATGAGGCATACAGCGGGAAATTCGAAGACGAAAAAAACAAATAATTTCCCCAAACATGGAAAAGGTTAGCCTAGAAGGAAAGAAATGAGCCAAATTTATCTTATTTTATTCTATACCATACCTATTTAAAGTAGCGTTTATTCCCAAATTTGATGCCCTTTTCTATATCTTGATAGTCCAAAAATTCTGAGGCTATGAAGATTATCCTAAAAAAGACAGGAAAACATTTGAGTTAATTCCAAGACGTGGCTTGGCAAAGAGAACTTGGAAGGTCTGTGAAGGAGGATGAGAAATAATAAGTTTCTTGTTGTCCGTTATTACGAGGCAACCAATCTTTGCAGCCATGCCTGTTTTATCTCTGCTCTTTGATTACATAGGCAAAAATCTGAGCCTCCTACCTCAATTTAACATAACGTTTCATGATTTGATCACTGAAACAGTATCTGTTAGGGGCTTTCTTGAATTGATCTAAAAATTCAGTTACTGCTTTTAAATCTTAAAATTGATTTTATTTTTTCAAAAATGTTGTGAGATAATTTGATTTTCATGAAAAGAGTGGCAAACAATGTCATGGTCTCGAGTCTTGATGCCTTCATGTCTCCACTAACTTATTTCTGAAATTTGGTGACTGGTCACAAGCAAGAGTCGATGATAGCTAACACAGGTGATGGTAAATGTTGATAGGAAAGTAAAAACATTCATTTCTGAAATTTGATGACTGGTCCCAAACAAGAGTCGATGGTAGCAAAACACAAGTGGCTATGAATGTTGATAGGAAAGTAGAACTACTTTAAGTTTCAACTGACAAGTCTATCTAAAGTTTGGTGAGTAATAAACTTTGTATGTTGAACTTTCTTTTTCATTATCAGTTATCCTAATGGTAAGTAATAATAACTTCTATGCATCATGAGTATATCTCTTGCAAAGAATCCCTCAAATTGTCAATGCATGGTGAATTCTGTATTAGCGCTCTTTTGTAAGTCAGAATGTCCTTGAGTCTCACTGGACTTTTACTTGACATGCTCAAAGCCTCTTGTTGCAAGGTCTTTAGCATCTTGAAGACAGTTACAGGTATTAGTACTCCCTACCGTTGTGATAAATTTTTAGTTGAAGGATGAAGCTTGATTCTAATATCCCTATTCAAATGCAGAACTTTTGCCTTACGATTCCAAGAATTCTGGGAGGTTAATCTTTATCTTGTACTTTCTTGTGGTTCCTTTAGAGACTCTTCACTAAAAAATCACTGGACATTTAGTTGGAACAGGTGTGAAATTGGGAGGGACGGGTATTAAGAAGTAGTAGTGATTGAATAGTTATGTTGTGTATATGAGCAAGCATTATCCCTCTATTGTAATTTTTGCTTGCGTTTTCTGGATACCTTTAATGATTTACCTTTACTTCATAAAAATAAGTATTGTCAAGGTCAAAGCGAAAATCTTCAAAAAACATTCTTATTTGTTCATCTGAGTTGCTCATCCTGATGTTTTAGTTTTGGACGAGATCAGCTGAAGACCAGCTGAGTGCAAACTACATCTTCTTGGTGCATGGACAAAAACAAATTGGTTCATTATACTTAATGAATGGGGCTTTAAGACAGTTTCATGATGTTTAACCATTTTCTTAATCTTGTCCAAATCTTGCAGACTCTACTGGAGATAAAGAGAAGGAACACTTCCATACCCGGGTCTGCCGTGGCTTTAAAAAGTAAACTCTATGCATGAAGTTGTCATTTGCATAATCATATGCATAGTACTTCAGGGCATGGAGAACTCATTAAAAATGGTTTGTGATTTCTACTTCACCTTTATTTTTATGTCTTATCTTCATTTTAACTTGCTATTTTTTGAAATTCTATGTGTGTTGTTAATGAGCAATTGTTTGTAATCATCAATTTATATGGGAAACTCTAGGTTGTCCTATGGCTGTGAGTTAAAGAAATGAAATTGGCTCTTAATGAGTATAAAGTGAAATATTATTGCTGCGTTTCTCACAAGGGGAATCACAATGGATGCTGAAACAAAAGAAAAGATAGATGAAAAGACACAAGATAAGTAACAATTGGAAACTAAAGGATGTATTAAATCCAATAACCTCCAATCTAGCTCCTAACAGGTACCAAATATGGATAAATAGATAGACACATGAAAAGAAAATCAAAAGCAACCTAAAGGTATAGTAAACCTAAAGACCTCAATTGATTAATCCACAATTGATTAACACCCAACTCTTACAAAGAGCTCAAGGGAATCGATATCCCAAGCAACCCTCGTTTTTGAACAATGTTCGACAAAAGCTTACCAAGCTTTCTGCACTCACATAAGGAGTTAAATTTATCATTTATCAATATTCAAAATCAGTCTTCCTAAAATGAACCCTAAGACACCTATTTATAGTGTTAGGACTTGGGACTTATTACATAAATGGGCCCAAAAATGACCCGAAATGGGAGATGCGCCCAATGGACTTGGCGAGGAACTCTGCTCCTTGACTTGGCTGGGGAGCTACTTGAACTTTGGGCGGTCTGGGGACCATCACTCAATCCATTTGGCGATGCGCCAATGGCCTCCATCTCGCCGAATGGTCAGCTTTCCCTTATGTAGCTCCTTGGACCAGTTGGCGACCTTGGGACTCTTGCCAAAAGGGGTTTGGTGAGTCGCCGAAGTCGCTGTCCTCTCGCCGAATGGAGCACATCTTCAATTCCTCTTCCTCACTTCATTAGGCCTCCCACGTTCCAAGCTATCATCCAAGCATGGTGTTTCCCAATTGGGAGCTGCTTTAAGGTGCATATGTTCCCATGCAAGGCATGAAACTTCCCCCTCGTCATCCATACGTGTTCAACAGCCTCCATCCTTGTGAACGATCCATCAATACTTTGAAGTTCGTGAATGAATAGCCTTGAGGTAATCTGTATTACAAGGGGAATCACAATCGATGCGGTAACAAAAGAAAAGATAGAAGAAGAGACACAAGATAAGAAATAATTGGCAACTAAAGGATGTATTTAATCCAATAACCTCCAATCTGGATTGATGATTACTATAAACTGGCATGTCAATGTGGTACTATGAACATTGCTATAGCTTGTTCATTAGTCTTTTTCTCGATACATTCACTGCTGCCACTGACATTTATCAAATTGGATATCTACTGCTTAAACCCCATAATTTAACAAAAAAAGAAAACTTATTTGTTCGACCATCTTTGTTAGCTGTTATTTCTATTTAAACTTGTGGTTTGACTCAATACCAAGAAAAAGGAGCATTATTGGTTTCCTTATTCGTTGGACCAAATGACTCACAAATTAATGTGAACAAAGTTAGGAAGACTAGGAAGTTTTTTTTGTAACATCTGTGAACATTACCATAATGACATTTATAACAAACGAGAATTACAACTTTGATCACCTAACAGCACAACATTCCTAGCAGTGTTATCAAGGCGAAGAACACAAAAAAGCTCTAAGGTCTGTGAGGGCTTTAAGCGTAAAGCGCAAATAAAGTGTGGGCTTTAATGAAAAAAGGCGCAAAGGGAGAAAAGATACAAATATTTATGTTTAGTCTAAGACTAATAATTTATAAACATGAATGACAAAAATATGACCAAAGAAATTGAAAAAAAGTTGATGATATAGTGAAATATCAATTATTCAGTGTCACTTCTTCGAGGCTTATTGACAAGGAAATGTTTGCCTTAGAACCTTGATGACGACACTGAAGCGCACATAAAGCAAAGCGCACATAAAGCGAGGGGAAGCACTCAACCCGTTTCGAGCCTCGCTTCAGGGCTTAAGCGCGCCTTTGATAACATTGATTCCTCGTCTATTCTCTTCTCCTCACAACTAGTTACCAGTTAAAGTTTGAATAGAACTCTTACATTTATACAGTTTTTTTGATTCCCAAATCTAGCTATCCTGTCTATGAATTCCTTTTTGATCTGTGTTATAACTTGCTCCTTTTGTACATTTACTGCTCTATATATTTTCCAATTCTTTGCTCTCCAAGTGTGATATACCATAGCCCCCATAGAGCAGCAATTATTTCTTTCTTTGCTTTACTTCAATACTTTCTTTTGATTTCCTGTAGTACCCGATCATTTCCAGTTGCTTCTATCTGTATGTGAGTCACTGCATGATTGCTTCATTTACCTTCTGCGTCCATACACATGACCAAATAAATGGACTGTTGTCCCGACCTCATGTGTGTCACAAAGACAACACTCTCCTTTTTCCACCTTAATGTTCATCTATATTAACTTTCTTTCGTAAGGAGTCTGCCCAGTGTAGCTAACCACAATATAAACTTGTGCCTTGGTTGTGCTATTCTATTCCAAATCAATGCAGCATTTTCCAAAGAGTTCTCCAAAGCGTTTTAATGCTTCATTTCATTCTTCAATCCATTTAGTTTCTTCCAGTACTAACTACTGTTTGGAGGAGCAATATGAGACCAAATATTATCATCTGATTTCATATAGACGACGTGTACCCACTTGACCCACAAAGATTCTTTATGCTCGATTAATTGCCCTAACAGCTTTCCGACCGAAGCAACATTCCAGTCATGGCAACCTTTAATGTGGAGCCCCCGTACTTCATAGGTATGCAGACCTTCTCCCACGAGACCAAGGCTATTCGTCTTTTATGTTTAGTGTGGAGACCAAGGCTATTCGTCTTTTATCTTTAGTACTTTCCCATAAGTAGGTCCTACAAATTTTATCCACCTCTTTGACAACACTATGGGGGTAGTATAAAGACAGATTCCCAGAAGTTATGTATCGAGAATATGACTGATGTTATCACTTGTAACCTTCCTGCGTATGATAACTTCTTCGAATAAGTGACAGTTATCCGCTGGGTTATTTTGGCAATCTGTTGATGACATTCCATCTTCGACCACTTCTTGGAGGACAAATCTGATTGGAAAAAAGCCAAGTGTAAATCCAGTTCTATTGAGTAGTGCTTCCTTAGTCTCAGTCACCCCTGCTGTAAAAATGCTGGACTTCTCCATAATCGCCTCTAATCATGTGAGCTAACTTAAGTGGCCAGTCCTTCAAACATTTTGTTCACGGATTTTACTTCCCCTTTACAAAACACCATACAACATCAACAAATATCAAATGTGTCAACTTGACTTGCTTACACATGGGATGAAACTTAAAGTCTGGCAATGACCTTACACTTTTTAGGATCCTTGAAAGGTACTCCATGACATGGGATCTCCATGTCTCACCCCCTTTATCCTCTAAAATAGCCAGATCCTTCTCCATTCACCTTTACTGTGAACATAGGAGATGCAACACAAGTCATGATTTTCTGAGTGAACTCCCTTGGAAACCCATAACCCTTTAGAGCCTCCTCCAAAATCTCCGAGCTAACCATGTTATAGGATTTTTTGAGGCTATTTTCATTAGGCACTGCGGGGATGTCTTCCACTTATAGTGTTTTTAATAGGTCGTGGCAAATCAAGACATTATGTACCATGGATCTAACCTGCATAAAAGCCGATTGGTTATCTGCCACCAGGTAGTTAAATTGCATCCTTCAACATGCTACATATCATCTTTCATATGCTCTTATAGATCACATTACAACAAGAGATGGGTCTAAATTGATTTCCACATTCTGGAGCACAAACTTTGGAAATCAGTGCAATATGGTCTAATTGATCTGCCTCAATAATTTGCCATTATGAAAGAATTCTAGCACAACATCCGAGATTTCACCCCCTATGATGGCCTAGGCTGCTTTAAAAGATCCACTCCCGTACCCATCTGATCCAGGATTCTTTGTACTATCTATCGAAAATATGGCATTCTTGACATTTTCATCGTATAAAGCAACATTAATCTCTCCTTATGTTCAGTAGTTAGTATTGCCAATTATGATGAAACTCTGAAAAGTCTTAACTCTTGCATTACTCTTCCTCCCAAGTAAATTCTCATGATAGGATACAAAGAGTTTTGCAATGTACATCAGTGTACTGACTGTTGAGGAATAGACAAAGTTACCATTTTCAATTTTTTTTTTTGCAATGTCATCTGGATCAGATTTCCGCACGCCCTTCTCATCCTTCAACTGAGATGTGGCTTGTTTTAGTCCCCAGTACTTGATCACTGAATAGAAGTAATCTCTCAGTTTAACCAATTTACTTTACTTCTTTGCTGGAGGAATAGCTCGGCTAAATAAGATGAACATAGAAGTTTATGATATTTTATCCTATCATCCTCCTGGAGGTCTGCTCTTGTGGGCTCTTACTGCAATTTTTCTTGAGCCTTCTTAAGTGACACCCTATCTTCATTTGCTTCATCAATGATATTCCTAAAGTGGCAAGTATTTCGATTCCTGAGCGCTTTCTTCAACATTTTCAATTTCTTAACAACTTTCAACATTTTGGAACCTTCAATAATTGAAATGATTTCCTTCTCCTAGATCTTTCTTCTATTAGTGATACTCTGGCTGGGCAATGATCTCTGATTCCTTCAGGCAAGAACCTCACCATAGATGTGGGCATAGAAGCCAACCATTCTCCTTTAGTGAATACCCAATCTATCTTTGAAAAGATTCTTGGGTCACTACTCTTGTCATCCCAAGTGTACTTGTTTCCTTATTGGGGCATTTCGACTGGTGAGCAATTATTCACACGATTTTGGAAATGAATCACTACTGACCAAAGCACTGGATTCCCTCCTATTTTGTCTTCATCCTTAAGGACTGAATAAAGTCCCCTAGAATCATCCAAGGCATTTGACACCCTTGAGATAAATTCTCTTGGTAGTTCCATAGATCCTTTCTTTCTTACTTAGTATTAAATGCATACACCACTGAAAGCATGAACTTCAATTACTTCTGTCGGAAAGTCACCTTGCAAGTGATTACCTGAGCAGTCATACTGATAGGCATCACCTGGTATTGATCAGGTCTCCAAGTGAGCCAAACTCTCCCATTATAATGATAACCTAGGTTAGTTAACTAGTGCCAACCCCCAAACAATTTTCTCGCTACTTGCTCCACCTTGTTCTTCTTTATTTTAGTCTGTAGTAAGCCTACTAGACCCACTTTTTCAGTGTTGCAGAGAAGAGCAACCTTTTTCTGCTTATTCAGGCCTCTAACGTTCCATCATAATATGTTAACCATTCCCAGACAGGGTAATGGTTTGACCTCCCCCATTACTAGCCGTCTCAATTATACTCTTTGCGCTAGTCCCAACCTGATGTAAAGGCTGAAATGTGTTTGAATTAGTCACTTTACACTGCTTTGTATGTTGTTGAGTAGCCTTGCCAACTCTTTGTGGTGTAACCCACTCTTCAGTTGGTGCCGCTTGTTCACTTTGGTTTGTTTGCTTGTTCGTTTCCCTTGACTTTGCTCTTGCAAATTCCGTGAATTTTGGTTACCCTGCTTGTTCATTTTCTGATTTACAACCTTTGCACCTATTGTTCGCTGCTCTTTCAACGAACTCTCTCCAGAAACGAACTCTCTCCCTCCCTGGTTTTCCCTCGCCTTGGTGTTTTCAGCATTCTGGATCACTGGTGGAGGGGTTAGCTTTTTCCTGCTATCTCCTTCAGCATGCCCATACTTTTTACAATTTGTACAGAGGGTTGGGTTTCAATCACACACCAGCCTTTGCTCCATTAGATTACCCTTTTTGTTCCTGAACGTAATTTTCTCTGGGAATTTGGCATCCAATTCCACTTCTATCAAAATTCTAGCACAGTTTAACCCAATTTTCTTCTCAGTATTCTGATCTACCATTAATGGTTTCCCCACCAAACATCCTATCTTGTTGAGCCCTTAAGCACTCCAATATTTGAATTCCAATCCATGAACTTCACCCAAATCAGGACAGTATACCACTCTGCCCTTGTAAACTCCATATCCGCATCACATGCCTTCACTATCAATGGCTTGTTATCAAAATGATAAATGCCCCCTTATATCACTTCATTCTTCCCTGCAGCTGTATCAAACCGAACCAAACGAAGAAGGATAATCCCATTCTTCAACATCAACATTTTGTTTATTCCATGTTTGGCCCATAGTCATTAAATATATCCTTTAAATCTCAGCGAAAGGGGGATGAGCCCCTAGTACATAACATACCACAACATTTTTCCAGAATTCAAACTCCAAACCTTATATCCTCAAGTTTGATTTCTACTATAGGTGCCTCTCCAGTTTGTATAGGAGAAATGTATTCAAACTTGAACCCTGCATTAGATACTTTGGCCATATCAAAGTTATCCCATACCGACCCTTGCGATTTTGTGCGCACATTCTCCTCTTCTATTTCATCTGCCCAAGTCTTCTTCCCACTGCTGTAGGTGACATATTCCCAATTTGCATAACCTTCAGCATAGCCTCCCACCGTTGCAGAGCTTGTTGCTGTAGAACTTTATCATCTCCAACTTTCCAATTGCTTATTTGCAATGTATGTTCAACCTAAAATTTTAAACATATGTTAAGAGACTAATTTAATTTTAACATCTGGATTACAGTTTCGTTGGTAATTTTAGGATAAAGCCTATAATATGATAGTATTTTTGTTTTAAAAAGGGCCACTAAAAGCAGTAGACATCAAAGAGGTAGTAACAGCTTAAACTAAGTAATGTTTTTTCTTGAAACTAAAACCAATATTGTTGTTGAAAAGTATATGCTAAAATTTTCTAATACCTTGTTGTTTGCTACTTAAGATCTCTGAAATATTTACCTCCCTCCTGCTTCACTTAAATATGTTGTGGGGTCGAAAGCTTGAATGGTGGAGTTGTAGCTATTATATAAAGAGGATGCGAAAGAAAGATCTGATAACTTTGTATGTGTTAAAAACACGCCTAAACTATCACCTTTTTCGTTTTTTCTTTTACCTTCCTACCTAATTTATTGGGAGCATAAGAATACATTTAAACTATCACTCATTAATAAAATTGCGTTGAATGTGATTTAGGGAGTCTTATAGATTTCCCATGATTACGATCAGCCTAGCTAAAATTTTTTTATGATATGTGTGTGACACAAGTCTTACGTATTCACTCTTTACTGAAACATAGAAGTAACTATTTTTGTATATTATTCACTTAATAATGATAAATTAATATAATGTAATGTAATAGTGATTACACGGATAAAATTTTGACATTGAAGTAGCTTTATTAGTTTACTTTTAATATTATATTTTTTAATAAATCTCAAGTTAGATATAGTTGATTGAGCAAATGAAGAAGAAAATTCTTTCACTGGATCCTCTTGTAATTAAAATTACGTAATCCTAATAATTATTGCTCACTTATTTTTGTTTTTGTTTATATTACCTTAATAAAAAAAACTATTGACTTTTTTTGTAAACATCAGCCCTTAGGAAAGCCACATTTTGCATAATAAACATTATGCTACAAGTAATTTGGTTGATTAACCGCACATTTTTTCTATATATATTCCACAAAAATATCAACACTGAAGGTGACATTATTAGTATAATTTTCCCACCATGGGACCAGCTTATTAACATTCTTTTTAATACTGTTTTTTTATATATAATAATAATAATAATAATAATAATAATTACAATTACAATACCTTTAATCCAACTTGATCAAATAATTTTGGTCCTCCTATATTCTGGATACGAAGTCGTATTTGTCAACTGTTTTAGCCCAAATCTTTTTTTTTCATCATTGTTTGTGGACATTGTTATATTACAACAAGCTCAATACCTATATTTTAATTGGGCATAATACATATATTGGATCTTAAACTTGGCTTCAAATTTTAACTTTAATCTCCAACTTTTATAATGCATAAACAGGCACTTTAGTTATTCAACTTTTAAATAAATAAACACATGAGTCCTATATGACACAATATACGTAAGACATTACATAGGACAAAAAATGACACGTAGGATGATATGTAGGACATGTG